TTGCAGCAGGAGACCTGATGCCTCTAAAGCTCTGTCTAAGTGCTCTCATGATGGGTGAAATACAGGTGCTCACAAGACCTCATGGACTTCGGCTGATGGATCAGCTCTGCAATGGGTCACGTTTGTCCCTTCCTGCCTTAGGTTTGGCGGCACCATGGAGTGGGCAGGAGAGTAGAGGGACAGTCTTCTTGCAAACAAGGGAAGCAGGGAGGAGTCCACTAGGAATAGAGAGGTTTGGGTCATAGGATAATTCAAACTGTAGGTGCCTCTGGAGTTCTCCCTCCTGCCCCAAGTGCAACCTCGTGCCTAAAGCAGGGTGCTTTATGGGGTCCTACCAAGTTTCTCGGAACTTCATCCAGCTGCATCTTGAAGACCTCGCAGAAGGAGACTGCATGGTCTTCTTGGGTGCTCCTGGTTCTTGGGTTCTCCTGGTGCTCAGCTGCTCTCAGGGGGAAGAAGCTATTCCCAGGGTAGATGTCCACACAAGGGAACAGCAGCTCTTTGAGCCCTTTCTCCCAGCTGATGCTCTGTATGTTTTGCAGACATTTGCAGGCAAGGAATACAGTCCTAAATCTTGGAAGCGCAGGGGAGCTGTGCCTTTGGCCTCAGCATGGTTTGCCTTCCTTTCCAAACCTCCCTTCAAATAAACCCTGTCTTTGGACCAGTGTTGTCAGACATGGCCAGGTGAGAGCCTTGAGGTTTTACTGCCTGAATTATCATTTCTTTTTATCTGTTATAAGGAAAGGTATTTCAGTTCAGTTGAACCGCTTATCCACACAGACTTTCTGGTCCTTAACATGGGATGAGACAGTCTGGGGCTGTGCTAGGTCTGTGGGAAGGGGAGAGCCCAATGGAGGTAGGAGGGCAACAGAATCCTTGGCAGAAGAGCCAAGGATTTGCAAAATGAGGGGTAGTAGAAGAGCTTCTGCTCCTTGTCTCCCAGAGCCTGGGGCACAGCGTTCAGCTTTTCTCTTCTTACCCTCTCCACAGCTTGCATGTCTCTCTCTCACACCCTTTGCTTAATTAATTTGTCATCTGCTGTCACTGTAGCTGGAGACTGCAGAACACCCAGCAGAACGCAGTCCTGATTTCAGCTACCATATCCGTGCTCTGCTGTAACACAAGCGATAGCTTAATAAACCACAGCAGTGCAGACCAGATATTTTGGCACTGGTTGCAGTTTTTTATTAAAAAAGAGAGAGTGAGAAAGAAAAAAAAAAAGAATTTGGAGAATAACAAAGATCTGAATAATGAATAACTCCACTTTTGATGTCCGAGACCTGAGTCTTATCCTCAAAGAAAAATATGGATGGAATGGGATCTGGTGTTTGTCAGTAGTCTGAACTTAGGCTTCCCTTCTTGATCCAGCCTCAAGGCTGAAAGAGCAGAATTATTTCAGGTTGCTCTGAGCCCCACTAAGCAATTTTTGAGGAGAAATTCAAGCGGCATCAAGGTGAACAAAACCTGAACCAAACCAGTTAGATGAGCTGCCCATTTCGGAACAGATCATACAGTTCTCTTACTTAAAGGACTGAACCTCTAATGGGTTTCATTTTCTTTTCAGCATCATTTTGAAACCTTATGAGTCCTAGGGAGTGAGAGTTACTCTCTTTTTGCGTTTGAGTGTCAGTTCCCAGCTGGGAAGGCATCTTGCGGTTGCCTCGAATTGTCTATCAGAGGTCATCCATTCAGTCCTGTGGCCAACCAGAATCCTCCAGGCTGCTTATTACTTCCAGGAGACATCTGCAGGTGCTGATGGTCTTATTGATGAAGAATCTTTGGGCACCTCAAAGACTCCTCCGCTTCTCTAGACAGCAGCTTATCTCGTTTCAGCTATGGATCAAAATGCACAGGCAATAAAGGTGCTATTGATTTAAGCCTAATGGTCAAGTTGGTTCGGGATTTCAATTGGAAAAGAAAAATCAATGCTACTTTGTTGTTATTATTTATTATTATTGTTATTATTATTTTCTGCTGTTATGTTATTATAATGAAAAGGAATCAGAATCTCACCGGCTCCTCGCCATAAAGCAATACACTTGCAGGGCTGAGAACATTGAATCAGGCTCAGGAACATTCATGGCACTTCTTCACTTCAAACTATGCTTAGGTATTGCTGGAAGAGCACGTAGCTTGAAGACAGATTGTGGAGTGTGTTAACTCCGTGGTGGTGTGGGTGATTAGAGAGGATGCTTGACCCTGCAATCTAGTTGTCCTTAATTCCTACAGATATAAGTCCTGGAGCCCCAAAGCCATCATGAGTAGTCTAGATTCAGGATTTTGCAGGATCTTATCTGTTCAAAGACTTTGGAGCCAAATCATGTTTGCAAATGGTTAAACTTTCAACCAGCTTTTGGAAAAAGGGCATTGGTTCCTGTGTCATTTAGGCTGGTGAACATCTAGGAGTAAGGGATTGCTTGATGTGGTCCTGCTGACCATGCCAACATCTCAATGACTTTCTAAAGTCCTAAGTAACTTGGACATACTAAAACATTTTTCACTCTGGCCTCTAGTTACTTCCCCTATCTTGTCCCTGAGGAGTTTGAGAAGGACTGAAGACATCTTTGATTTCCCATGATTTTCAACTGTCCCATTTCAAGACAACTTTAAAGGGGGCCAGGAGACCAGAGTTACACTTTCTCATAACCCAGCCCTTTCAGAAACAACCAAGATGACCACCCAAACCTACATGAAGTACCAACCTGTGTACTCCGAGGAGGTAGTCTGAGTATCGCCATGTCTGTTGAGCATCATTTGCACCCATTCAAAATGAGCATTTTCCATGAAGGCATCATAGCCATCAATAAAATGCCTGGAGTGAGAACTGCAATTTCAGAGCCAAGCGTTATATGGATGCTAGGAGAGATTAGAGACAATGTGAAGAGAATCTGACAGCATAGCTTGAAGTCCTGAGATAAAACTGCCTTAAAATTGAGTTTATCTGAGTGCCATTCAAAACAGACAGTATTCTGTTGTTGGGATGATGTGACCACACCAAGGTGCAAGGCCTGACCCGTGCTTTGCTGGAGCAAATGACCAAATTTTGATGTCTTCAGTTGTTTTTCTGGGAAGAGACCTGTTTGGTTTGCATATCTTCCAATCCCTACATCCCAATCCCCACATTTGCAGCAGTCCCATAGGGTGTTTCTACTGCCCACCTCAGTTTGGTTGGACAAATGCCAAGGCCAAGCATGTTTTTAAGGCTGTTTACAGATAGAGATGATGTCTTTCTGACTTTGGAACTGTGGGATCAACACACTGTGTTACACACCAGGGTGACTTGTGCCTTTGCACATTTTTCAAGGTAGCTAGGGGAGAACAGAGCAAAGTCTGGAGCTTACTCTGATTGCTGCATCCATAATAGTTTTCCTCAGCTTCTGCTTTTCTCATTCTTATTTTGTGTCTCTTGAAGGAGAGGGAGGAAGGACATGGTCTTCTGTTCCTTTGTAAGACATGCCCCAAACTGTTTGCCAACAACATAAAAAGGATTATTTTCATGCTAAAGCAAGTGCTGTGAAAATAAACACTGGAAAATACTTAGATAAGATTTCTTCTACAGTATACAAGCTTCTTACTTCATTCCCAGTGTAAGGACGGAAGACTAGATCTTAGCAATGGTTTAAATACCTCCTGTAAGCCTAAAAGAGAAAAAAAAAAAACCCACGGATATTTAAAATCAAGAATTATTTTGAGGAAATGAAGTTAGGCTTAGGCTAGTCTTTGCTTCATTGAGGACCTTGGATACAAAGGGAAATTAGAGGGCAAGTATCAAATAAAAATCATAAACAAATGTACATAAATGTGTATCAAAAATATATGTGTATATATTATATACATATATGCTTACATACACACATGTAAAATTAATCCAAACACATAGATAATTCTGGTTCCAGGCAGTACTTTGGAAGGTTTAATCTCATGTTAAGGATTTGGCCTCAGAGAATCAAATATGAATATGAGTGAAGCTAGGAGCATTTCTGTGATTTGGATCAGGCACAGAAACCAAATCCTGAGCTCCTTGTTGATATGACAGATACATCCACACTTCAAAAAGCAGTTTTATTTGGCTTCACAGGAGCAAAATTGGTGTCCTGGTGAGGAGCTATTCTGGCCAGAAATAGGTAGTTTTGGCCTACTGAACTATCTATTTGATTTCTTACAGCTCAGCGCAACTCGCACAAAAGAGAACCAGATGGGACAAAAAACAGTTGGTCCCAGGGCTCAAGCAAGACCTGTTCATGCACTCGTTTCTTCCAGGTGGATCTGAGTGGAAATGATCACATCAACAAGCCCCATCACATCCCTTAAATCTGTTGCCGTACAGCAGGCCCAGAGGCCTGAGTAGAAGTAGTACTGGGGATTTGAAGCCACATTCAGATCTGATCAGAACTCTGGCCCTCAGACAGGGTTTTTTTTTTTCAGTTAATTTAGAAAGAGCTGGTGCCTTGTTTTTTCCTTCAGCTGGGTTTTCAAAGGGTAGCAAAGTCCTTGCCAAGAGTCAATGTTAGCCACAGAAACTGGTGGGTAAAGACATCAGCTGCCTAGCTTTTGTAATTGCAGCTCTCTGAGAACTGAAAATGGTCTTTTTATCCTTCTATCGCTTACAAAAGAAAAGTCTCTATTAAGAGTGTCTGGAAGAAGGGGAGATTGTCTCCAAAAAGACAGTGTTCTATGTGTGAGAGGGTGGAGAATGCATCAAAGCAAAACTGACCTCTAGCAAGTCCCCTGCCCTACCATCCCCTATTAGCAATGCACCTCAGGGAGTCCTCTGTCACCACCACGTTGACATCTGCTCCAGTCCAGTTCATGGGTATTCCTTTTTTTTCCTTTTCACTTCTGTAAATGGAGATATATTTGATGAGTAGGACATTGTGTGTGCGTACTTTGGGATTTCCTTCAAAAACCAAAACCAAAACCAAGTTGACTAGGGTGGCCTGATGGATTATTCAATCCTTGTGTTCTCACTTTGGTATGTATTTCCTTTCTTCTTCAGGAAAATGGGAACCACTGCTCCAGTGTGACCTGTTTCTAAGGTGCATCAAATAAGGACAACCTGTCCCATTGCCCCAGAGTCCTCGCAGTATGGATGGTTTGATTGAGCAGAACACTGTGCTAATGCACAATAAGATAGCGGAAGCCGGGAAAAGGAATGGTTTGATTAATACGAGGAACTTAGTGGCAGAGAGTCGAGATGGTCTGGTCTCTGTGTACCCAACGCCCCAGTACCCAGGCCACCGAGTGGGGAGCCTTTCCTCACAGAGCTGCCTGGACAGTGGCAGGAATGACCCTGTACAACAGCTTCTGGACCCCAACATGCTGCAGCAGACCGTGGAGTCTCACTACCGACCCAACATCATCCTCTACTCAGAGAACGTGCTGCGTTCATGGGGGGAGAGCATTGGCTCTGAGTGCTGTGAAACAACCTTCATTGAAGACCGATCCCCCACCAAAGACAGCTTGGAGTACCCCGATGGCAAGTTCATTGACCTCTCAGCAGATGACATCAAGATTCACACGCTGTCCTACGACGTGGAGGAAGAAGAGGATTTCCAGGAGCTAGAGGTTAGATGTTATTAACTATCTGTGGGGGAGGATGGTGGGGAGGAAAAACCTGTGGTTAAGCGTGCTGCTTGCAAGTGCTGGTCTGCATGGGATGGGCTATCTCACTTTTTCCTTTGGCCAGGACAGTGAAGGAGCACTGATCATTACTTGTTGGGTAAAGTCCCGACTCTGTTGATAGTAAGGACGAAATTCCCATTGTCCTTAACAGGGATGAACATTTCCCTCCAGCATCCCAAAGGGCTGGTCACAATCAGAAGAAGGCCCACGTGCTTAAATGCTTTCTAAGGTCAGAGCCAGTAGGATTTGTCCACGTACATGGAGCATGTCTTACACAGCAGGCCAACATTATCCCTTACTTTCTTTTGATCTGAGTTGGGCATAAAGCTGGTCCTCTGCGCATAGGCTCAACTGTGACAGATTTCTCTCTTTGAATGAACATGCAAGCAAAAGTCTCTGGGTTTCCTGTCACAGGGAATCCCTTCACTCTGAAATCCAAAAATCAGTTCTGTTTAGACCCAAAACGCAAAGTTTCTTTCTGTGTTTCGTTGATTGATTGTTCACACTAAAGTAAGATGCATTTTATTTTCCAAATGGGGCGGATTGTGGAAATCAACCTCGTTCTTTCTTGAATGATACATTCCTAGTTAAAAAAAAAAAAAAAAAAAAAGAAAAACAAAAACACACTTTTCTCTTTTTAGTTGAAACCAGCTGCCTCTCTACGGCACAGATTTATGTTTGGCATTGTGCATAGGGGTGGAGAGTGTACATAATGCTACTGATCCCAAATCTTTGTCTTGTACTAGTCACACGCTCCTAGCTTAGCAAAGACCCAATAATCCTTTGGAAGGGAAGGCATAGCTCCAATCTGAAGGTCTAAGACAACATCGGGAGACTATTTTATTGCATTTCATTCTTGTTGGAGTTTTCTCCCATGAGACATCACAAGTTCTATAGCTTCTATTTTCACCTCCTATAACACAGGTTCCTCACCTTGAGCTCAGCATAGGCACAGCACAAAAGCCTTACTTTATTTTTATTCTCTTTTCTCTCTGTATTTTTAAG